GGAAAAAGATATACTCTAGTTTTCCCCTGTTTTTATTCAATTCTAACTTTTAAACTCATCATACCGTAATACCCAAAAATATGAATAAAGGAACACAATTATTTCTTCTAGTTGTGCACAAACTTTAATATATATGCGATATATACAGAATAATATATTGCATTCGTGTTCTATACAATCCAATTTTTAAAAAGAGAATAACATTCATAAAATAATGTGGACGTCATTTCAACTGTCCCTTCATTAAAGAATTAAAAGCCTTTTTTCACAACGGAACCCTGTAAACTTTAAGAAAAGGATAGTGATATCTTTGGTTTTTTGTCTGATAATTTTTATTCAGTGATCATTTTCTCAAAAAAGGACCTTTTTTGATTTATATAGCTTGGAAAAAGATGAAAAATTTACATAATTTACTTGTTTTTAGGATGTAAAACCGATATTTTTATCATAGCTAATCAGATGAAGACCTAAAGAATTGTGAATCGGGAATGAAACTCTTTTAATGGAGGATTCTTCTTGTTTAATCTCCTTTTCACCGTCTTAACCGATTTATATTCTTTCTCCTATTAATCCCCCCTCGAACTCCCACTCTACCCCATCCCACTCCCACTCTATCTCATCCCACTCCCACTATATTCCCTCCCTACTCACTAGACCCCCTCCCACACCCAATCTACCTCCCTCCCCACTATACCCCCTCCCACTCCCACCTCCACTCAACTCCTGCCCCACTATCTCCCCACATGTGGTTTCCGAAGGTGTAACAGAACAATAGTTTATATTTCGGAGAAATAAAGAAATTATCTAACTGAGTCTAGAGTAATATCCCGTGCTTTGAAATATAAGGTATAATGGTACCATGCAGTGCTTGTGGTACGGGAACTAAGTGATTCAATAAGCTGTAAAGTACAGGTGCAGGGGTATGGAGAATTCTGTACAGAACTAGACCAAGTCTCATCCTTTGTGAGAAACCCTGTAAAAAAAATTCTACGCTCGGATAAAAGAAATAATTAGGTCCAATTGAATTCCTGCAAAAAGCCTGCACTCATGCAGGTTTTGTTTGCAGAATCCGATCATGCAGATCTTGGATGAAGGATTGGGGGTTAAATACTCGAAACAGTTCCAGAAATTAAATGATTTATGTTTGGTTCTGATTGTGAAATAGATAGTTTCTAAATTATAATAGTGAACAAATATCAGGGACAAAATGGAAATTTTTAACTTATTTGTCATTTCTATGGAACTCATGCAATCCTTAATCCTCATTCTAATCAATTTCCGTCCTTTTTGGTTGATTAATCCAACCTTGCAAACCTGTTATATAGTTAAATCAATAAACCAACTGTAGAGGGGGTCTCTCATAAGAAAAGATCGATCATAACTTTATAAATAAATTCTTAGCTCTCAACAGACACCCTTCACTTAATATTCGCATCTTCCAACCATCCCCCCCCCACTTTCCTAACCATTTCCCATGACAAATATCGGAGTCAAGTTCCCCCCCCCCTCCTCCTTTCTCGATTTCTGTTCAGTGTTTAACCCCCTCACCTCTTGAATGCATCTCTGCAATAAATAATCTATTTATTTATATTATATGTATGCATGGTTTCTAAATAACATTCTGATTAAAGAAGATTCGAGCTAGGGGAATCATGAATTTAAGTACCTTCGGTCAAATAAAAAACAGAAAAATTTCTTTTGAGAGTATCCTTGTATAAGATATGTATACTAGAGTATCTCTTATATAAGATCTGTATACTAGAGTATCCCTTGTATAAGATCTGTATACTAGAGTATCCCTTGTATAAGATCTGTATACTAGAGTATCCCTTGTATAAGATCTGTATACTAGAGTATCCCTTGTATAAGATCTGTATACTAGAGTATCCCTTGTATAAGATCTGTATACTAGAGTATCCCTTGTATAAGATTTGTATACTAGAGTATCCCTTGTATAGGATCTGTATACTAGAGTATCCCTTGTATAAGATTTGTATACTAGAGTATCCCTTGAACCTTGTATCCGATTGATAACTCTCCTCTCATCTCTACCCTGGAGTATCTTCTAGACCTTGCATCAATCAGATTTGTATCCTAGAGTATTCTTTCTATCTCGTAATATCAGGTTTGGGGGTTAGAAACCAGATTGATGGATTGAATGGTTTGGTTTGATGAGGGTGTGTGAAGAGTTTAACAAGAAACTATTTAAGTTCTTTCTTTGGAGTCGTTCATTTTTTCAGTTGAGTTTAATTGCAATTTTTATCACTTATTTATCTTTTAAAAAATTCTGCATAATAGCTTTTTTCCAATCCAGCTTTAATTCTATACACAATTTTAAACTCCAATTTCCTCCGGTATATATTTATCTTTGAAGTCTTGTAATGAATCTAGACCCGTTGAAATCTCCGAAAACTTGACTCTTAGTCTAACGTCAATCTCTCTGACTCTATCTCTAGCCAAAACTCAAGGCTCTGTATACGACTGTCTAAATCGACTATTTCTATCATACTACTTTATTAATACAGGTAAATATAAACTGACCGGAATGGCCGATCAGGGTCAACATGACCATAGATAAAATAGATAACGAAACATAGATAATAGAGATCGTACTAATCATGATAACATAATTTATTACAGTCTCCCTTCAAACATTTCTTTTTAAACTTTACAGCTTTACATCTTTCGTCAATCTTATCAAAATGTTACTTTTCTTTGAAAAGTCCATGCTAGTATTTTTTAAAAAGTGTATGATCTAGGCAAAACGCTTCTATTATTATTTTTAGTATTTTTTCTCCAACTTTTTCCATGCAAAGGATGTTAAGAAAAAAATAGTTCTGATAAAAAAGCTCAACATACGGAAATAGAAATTTTGTATGACATATTTTTTTCTTTATCAAGAGTCACAAAAAACGTTAATGAAAAAAGAAATAAAAATTGCTTTGATATAATTTTAAAATATTAAAGCAGTTAAACTAATAATTTTTGTTAAACATTTAAAATAATACGTAACAAAAAGATGTTTTAATCTTCTTTTTCCATGGATGTGTTTTTTCTAAACACCCTTTACTTTTTACTTGTTAGTTAACACACTGCAAATGTATAAAATGTAAGATCACCCTCCCCCCTCTCCTCCCCTTCTTATTACAAAATACCTTTTTCAAGACTCTGATATAAAATGACATGTGACCAAAGGGTTAAAAGCATAAATAAACACTCATTACACTCTGCTAGTGAGCCCAGGATAAGTCCTTGTAATCCAACCTTCTCCCCCTCTTATCATATACAATACAAATTCCTCCCCCTTCTCTTGTCTACCCCCCTCCACCTTCTCTTTTCTATCCATAACATTGTAACTAATCTAGTTTTTGTTCCGAAATACATGAAAAGGAGAAAAAACTAAAATCTCTGTTAATGGCTGTTTGTTTGAATGTACTATCATAACTCATTAACCTCTAGAATGAGTTGGTTGGGGAATTTAGTAGAACTGCGGGAATGTTATTTGTAGGGTTTAAAAATTTTAAGTTTAGTTTGTTGAATTGGGAAAACTTGGTTTCCAGACAAAGCTGGGTTCCCAATTTAGTTTATAGCCGAGAACTGATGTTTAGGTTAATGAAAATGAGAATCAATGGTGTATAACGGGACGGGTGTTAATGGCTTTTTAGTGTTATTTTTCATTAATATATCCGACCTTGTTTTTATAAGTAATGTGTTAGATTACTATTTGTCAAGAGACAATAGGTTCAAGAGGTGATATCAGGGAGAAACCCTGTGTTTAGTGTTAATACTGGAGAAATATCATTGCTTGGAACCCTGTTTTTAGTGTTAATACAGGACAAGTATATTCCTTGGAACCCTGTGTTTAGTGTTAATACAGGAGAAATATATTCCTTGGAACCCTGTGTTTAGTGTTAATACTGGAGAAATATCTTCCTTGGAACCCTTTGTTTAGTATTAATACTGGAGAAATATCTTCCTTGGAACCCCTTGTTTAGTGTTAATACTGGAGAAATATCTTCCTTGGAACCCTTTGTTTACTGTTAATACTGGAGAAATATCTTCCTTGGAACCCTGTGTTTAGTTTTTATACAGGAGAAATATCATCCTTGGAACCCTGTGTTTAGTGTTAATACAAGAGAAATATCATTGCTTAATTGGAACTCTTTGTTTAGTGTTAATTTCAGTAGAAAATTATTCCTTGGAACCCTGTGTTTAGTGTTTATGCAGGAAATATGTCCTCCTTGGAACGGTAAATATTCAAGGATTGGCATAAGCGATTCACATCAGAACTATAAACCTCTTTTATAGTCTTTGTATCAGAAACGAAGATTCTATAATTATCATAAATTTTCTCGGTTTTTTTAGAAATATAAAAGTTCCTTTTTTTAAAAGCTGTGGAAACAGATTATCTATTGCTTGAAAGAACGTAGACACAGTAATTTGTTTTAAGGCAAGGAATAATTTTTGTTGATATTAGATGATGACATTTTTTTTTTGGGGGGGGGAATAGTTCGAATAGATTGATGGAAAATAATCATGGAAAGTTTTAGAAATTAATTTATTTTTATGATTTACAGAAATTAATTAAATCACACCATGCACAACAAATTAGAATTGATAGGTTTTTAATTTTGCCTAAATTTGATTTACAAAATTGATTCTGTAGTTTTTCGTAAAGTTCCAATTCGTGTATTGATTTTGGAACAATAATGGAAAGGTGTCAAAAATTTAAACTAACAACTTGAATGGTTGTTACTAAGTTTTGGACCAAATTTTTCTCAGATTAAAAATCGAATATTTGTACAAAAAAAATTAATACAGTTAATTTTGTAAAGTTTGATTATCTAATATCGACAACAGAATATTCTATGACTTGTTAACCTAAAACTTTTATGAAATACCTAAAGCATGAAAATGTATGCTACTTATATTTGATTTTTAAGGGGTACAAATTTCATTCAATAAACGAAAATGACTCAATATCGTGTACATGCACTTACCCTTATATTCAGCACTAAATCGCCGCAAGCTTTTTAACACAATGTTCACTTAATCCCCGCCCTGGGAAAATATCACAATTTCACGAGGATTTGCGCGCGCAGGTTGTAGGTCTGCACTCAACCACGGTTTATACACTACTGAAAGCACGCTGGCGGTTTACGCTCTGCGTACGTATACGCTCTGTCTTTAGAAATCTTAATGCGTATACAATTACGCATTATTGGCCTGAAGTAATAAATAGGATTATAGATTAAAGCCGGTGTATTGTGTTTAGGGTTTGTTTAATAAGTTGAACTGCATCTGGAGTCTAGAGCAAAATAGAAAAAAGGAAATTTTTTGTGAAGTCTCAAATGTTTTAGAAATTAAATTGTGTTTCCCCAAAGTTAATCTTTTTTAAGTCAGTTTGGTGGTAAAGTATAAAAATTTGTGAAAAAAATTGGAATTATTAGAAATGAACAAATTTCTTGAAAATTTGAAAAAGATTCGAAAACTATGAATAAAGAAACCATTTTAATACTTAAATGCTCCATATGGAGAAATTTACAGAAGCTAAAACTGATAATTTATTTAACTGGTAAATATATATCCATTGGAAAAATTAAAACTGTTAAATTTTGGGATATTAAATTTTATGATTACCGACTGATAAAATGCTGTATATAAATCATAAAACTTCTAAAATGTAATACATCACAAATGTCCACGAACCCCTGATAAATAGACGAATGTTTTTGATCGTTTGAATCTCCATTTATCTCAGCTTATTGAATATCATTTAAGCTCGTTGTTATTTTATATTTGGTTTAATCCTTATATTTGGTTTAATCCCTGCTCCATGTGTCAAGTGTTTACATGAACCAAGATACTAGAAAAGGATAAACGTCCTTCAACCCTTATATTTTAGAATTTAGACATCCTTGCCAAGTTCTGAAAATCTGTAAAAGTGTTGAGAATATACCTTATGGAAATTCTTGCATTTTATTTAGCTATAAAGATCTATGTACACTGCCCACAAACCTTCCTTCCTTTGTTTTCCACTGAGAAATTTGTGGTTGCAGTTGATATTATACGTGGTTGATGAATATGTGGCTGCAGATCTTTGGGTTGCACTGGATAAATATGTGGTTGCAATTGATGAATATGTAGTTGAAATAGATAAATATGTAAATGTAATTGATTAATATGCGGTTGCAGTGGATATATATGTAGTTGCAGTTGATAAATATGTGGTTGCAATTGATAAATAAGTGTTGCAATTGATGAATATGTGGTTGCAATTGATAAATATGTGGTTGCAATTGATAAATATGCGGTTGAAGTGGATATATGTGGTTGCACTTGATAAATATGTTGTTACAGTTGATAAATGTGTGGTTGAAATTGATAAATATGTGGTTGCAATTGATAAAGATGTGGTTACAGTGAATATATATGTGGTTGCAGTTGATAAATATATGGTTGCAGTTTTTAAATATTTGGTAAATATCCGATAAAATACATGTTTATTGTGTATTTAACTCATGCCCATTTCAGATAAAATGTCTAGTGAGGTTTCGTGAATATAGATATGCGAGTTTGGGTGAGAAAACATAGAAGAGCCAGAGAGGAATTGAGATTTAGCCACAAAGGAAAGTTTTCCAATCTCTAGACCTTTGATATTTAAAATTATTAATTATGTGAGATAAAATGGTCTAAGTTTGAAATATCAAAGTTTTACACCATGAGGTTGCAAAGATATAGAAAGAGCATGGAAAAGAGAATATAAAAATATCTTACCATTCCTAAAATAAATTCAAACTGTTTGCTCTTTTCATTATTTAACGATAACTTAATATTTACTTTAAATTAAGTCGAAGGAATTGAGTCTTTGCAACAAACGCAAATGTTCCAATCCCTTTATCTAAACCACATGATGTTGTAAACCTTTAATGTTTCAAACTGAATAGATTATTTGATCTGACAGAATGAATAATTTCAAATACCTAAGGTCTCCGGCATTGGGTTGCAGAGATATAGGAATTAGAAAATCAGAGTTTGTGGCAAAGACTTAATTCCTTTCCTTGTTTGACAAAATCTAAAATTATTAAGATGATTAAAAAAAAATAATTTTATTACCCAGGAAATTAGAAACGAGACACAACAGTGTATTTCTTTTTTCATTTAGGAGGGAAACCTTTATAGAGGCTGTAAATACCTTTATAGAGGCTGTAAATAAGTAAAATTTGGAAAATATGCAATATTCAATTTTAAATTACAAAATTTTAGTTTAAGAAAATATTAAATAATAAAAAAAATTTACAGATGTCCTTCTTCAGGTTTAAACAAAGAAGACATGAATAACTATTTTAATTGCACGATGGAAAAAATCATAATTTTTGTAAATCTAGAACCATATCTCAAATGTTTCCTATTTGTAGGCTGCGACATTTGAAGACATCATAGTCAAAATGTCAAAACTCAAAATCAAAAATTAAATTATAATATTTGTTTTTTTAGTTCTTTTTTCATTTCAGTTATACTTTTTACATTCTTTCAAATTCCATTCTTCTCTTTCAATAAATAATAAATGTGTACTTTGTTTTAAAAAATCTGTTACAGTTACTTAATAAATTAAACAGATATTTCGATTCTATCTTTATTTTTTAAATTTTATAATGTTTATTGAATAACAGATATGAGCACTGGAATAAACATTTAAATCTTAATATTATTGTCAATAACAGAAACTACTTATACATTCATTATGTAAAAATCAATGTATTTACACAGGACTCGCGAACTACAAACCAAGTTAAAACAATTTAGCAAAGTTCATAAAAGGCACAAAAAAAATGCGAGAAAAAATCTTCGAGCCATTAAGAAACCTTATCTAAATTTTTCTAAATTTTAGTTAGTATTTATGTGAACCGATCATAAACGTATTTGCAAAACATATATAAAAATCTCAACTTCTATAAAATGGTAAAAATCTTTAGTCTTCAATCTTCACAATTTTCCCCTCTTTGTTCCTAAAAACAAATAAAGTGTGAAATTTCAACGCACATTATAAAAAATTTAAAAGTTATATAAAAAGTAGAACTCAATGAGAATCTAAATAATTTATTGTAGAACACAAAAAGATCTTAAATTCGTTCTTAAATGTGAGCCATGCAACAATAACATATTTATAGATTAAATGTGTTTTTTTTTTGAGATTCTGTTTTAAAATATTCTTTTAAAATCTTCATCTTATACCTATATTCCCATTCTGTAACCCCCCAACCGTCTTCACCATTTATTTTATATCTGCAAATAAAAAATCGTTTGAACAAAAATGTTTTAGAACAAATTAGATTAAAAGCTTACTTTGCAAACCGTTCAACTATCCTTGCCTCCCAATCATGACCATAGTACGCTCTTCCTTTCTCCTGATGTACCAGGGACACCTAGGGTATCTATATTTTTTAAGTAGTAATCTCTGGTTGTCTGCATTCTTTGGATGTTAGATCATAACTTATTAATTCCGATTTGACCTATCGTAATTGTGTCTTGCCACAAACTCAAATTTTCTAATGTTTATATCTTAAAAATCTTTGATATGTCAAGTTTGCATTATTTGACCCATCAAGATTTATATAATATATAATATAACTAGGCTTTTAAGGCGCTTCGCGCCATCTTCCATTTAAATTGTGAAAATGTTCTTTTTGTTTACATTTTAAAACAAAGAAGAAATTCTTTTTTTAAAAAATTTGCGGATTTTCAAGAATTAAATTTTTGTTACTAAATTAAAAACCTTTAAAACACATTTTTATTTTTATCATTCCTAAACCTTCCCTGTGGTCACGTGATGTCCCACAAAAAATTTGGGCTCGATCGGTTCAGCTGTTTTGACGTTTATTGGATACAAACAAACAAACAAACAAACAGACAACCGGACAAGCTAAATTTATATATAGATATATATATAAAACAAACAAAGCTGGAGTAAGGTGTATAGTTGATCAGAAAACGGTGTCCTCATATTGAATATAGTTGGTTTGTTTCTATCCAATAAACGTCAAAAAAGGTCAAAAAAATTCAAATTAGTTTTAAAACTTTTTAACAACAGAAAAATCTTCGAAATTTTTCAGTTTTTTATGTACGATGAAGAAATGATAGCACTACACATAAAAGCTAAAATTAACAGGAAATGGGCCGTAAATTCTAATTAATAAAAAACAAAACAAATATGTTTATATATTTAAAATATTTTGAATGATACGTAATTATTCCCAGAAATTGGGTCACTAGATGAAATTGAAAATATAAAAATTTATGTTTTAATCTGACAATCCATGATTATTAAATTGATATCGGCCTATATTCTTTGATCACCCTGTGGGTTCAGGAACTGACCATTATTCTTTGATCACCCTGTGGGTTCAGGAACTGACCATTATTCTTTGATCGCCCTGTGGGTTTAGGAACTGACCATTATTCTTTGATCGCCCTGCAACCCTGTGGGTTCAGGAACTGACCATTATTCTTTGATCGCCCTGTGGGTTTAGGAACTGACCATTATTCTTTGATCGCCCTGCAAGGTTCAGAAACCGACCATTTTTCTTTGATCGCCCTGCAGGGTTCAGAAACTGACCATTATTCTTTGATCGCCCTGCAGGGTTCAGAAACTGACCGTTATTCTTTGATCGCCCTGCAGGGTTCAGAAAATGACCGTTATTCTTTGATCGCCCTGCAGGGTTCAGAAACTTACCGTTATTCTTTTATCACCCTGTATGAATCAAGAACTGTACATAATTCTTTGATCACCAGTTGATCACCCTGTAGGGTTCAGGAACTAAGCCGCAAATAAGATATCAAACCTGAACGTTGTACCAAACATCTCCAGCTTGAAACCTAAACAAAAAGTATTTGTATTTGTACTGTATAATGTACATACACCAATTTAAATTATAAATCAAAATTCACAATTTGTCCTTCTTTGGAATCAAGATAACCAATGAAATAGTTTGAAATTATGTGTTCAAAACCTTGCAACGTTCAAAGTTTCAGTCAAACATATATTCTTTGTCAACTATGTGATGCATACTGTACAGTTACTGTGATAACGAATCCTTTTGGGAGACGAGGGGGGGGGGGGAAATGTCCAATAATAAACGTACATATTTTGGAAATAACAATAACGAACCTAAACCCGTAATCTGACGTATCCTCTCCTCCTTCTCCAAAGTTCCAGATCTATAACATAGTTTAATCTGTGTGCAGTATGCACAGGTACAACGTATGGCTCAATTTTTTTAGAGAAATATGACTCAGAAAGGAACTGAGTACTTGTCACAAACTCTAATTGTCTAATCCCTGTATCTATGCGACCAAATGTAGTAGACCTTTTCATATTTCAAACTATGAATTCTGTTAAATAAAATAGTCCTGTACAGTAGAAGTATACCTAGAAGTCTACCTCCTGTACAGTTTACTATGTAGAAGTATACCTGGAAGTCTACGTCCTTACAGTTTACTATGTAGAAGTATACCTCGAAGTCTACCCACTGTACAGTTTACTATGTAGAAGTATACCTCGAAGTCTACGTCCTTACAGTTTACTATGTAGAAGTATACCTGGAAGTCTACGTCCTGTACAGTTTACTATGTAGAAGTATTCCTAGAAGTCTACCCACTGTACAGTTTACTATGTAGAAGTATACCTGGAAGTCTACCCCCTGTACAGTTTACTATGTAAAAGTATGCCTGGAAGTCTACGTCCTGTACAGTTTACAATGTAGAAGTATACCTGGAAGTCTACGTCCTGTACAGGGAAGGGTTGACCGTCTCTGAGAATCCAGCCTAGTTCAAGAACAGACAAGGTGCCAGGCTGACTAACTACACCTGGGTTAAAACAAAATAAGAAAACCTTCTGTAAATTTGCGCAAATATATATATACAGGGTTACCCACAAAGAATGAGAATTCAATGAGAACTTAAAACTATTTAAGCATGACGATCTGAATGATTTATTTGATAAAAGGAATTGAGTCTTTATCACAAACTCAAATGTTATTTCCTATATCTTTGCAACCTGATGGTGTAATCCTTTAATATTTTAAACTTAGATTATTCGATCTAACAGAATTCATAGTTTGATATATCTGAGGTCCACGACAATGGGTTGAAAAGAATTAGACAGAATCAATACCTATTTATATTCATGAAAAAGAAAATAAATCATTTGAAAAATGCATGGAACTACTTATATAAGTTTCTCAAGTCACATTTATCAAAATAATAAAGAAAGAAAAATTTGTTCTTCGTCTCAAAAAAGGAATGTTAAAAAAAGAAAATTTTGCCAAAATAAAAAACTTTGTACCTAGAAACCCCCTGATACCAGATTGTGTTGTAAACTGATGAAATCCGTATCTATGCATCAAAGTCCAGTCCCTATACGACATTTAATTAGTTTCACGCTAAGCATCATTGTTATTTTTGTTTTAATGGAATTGTAACTTATATTATTATCATAATCATAATCATTGATATTTTAAGTTCATTTTTCATTTATTAGTAGATATAAACTAACCTGACAAATCCATGAGTACCTGGAGATATATAATCTAACCTGACAGATCCATGAGCACCTGGAGATATATAAACTAACCTGACAGCTACATGAGTACCTGGAGATATATAAACTAACCTGACAGATCCATGAGTTCATGGAGATATATAAACTAACCTGACAGATCCATGAGTACTTGGAGATATATAATCTAACCTGATTGATCCGTGAGTACCTGGAGATATACAAACTAACCTGACAGATCCATGAGTACCTGGAGATATAAAAACTAACCTGACAGATCCATCAGTACCTGGAGGCATATATTCTAACCTGACTGATCCATGAGTATGATCCTTCATAACATCGATCTCAATCTTCTGTTTCTCTCCGTCAATGTCTACAGTACCAGTGAGAGAACCAAACTGTTCGTAATGGTTTTGATGAGCTGAACGGAGACGAGCAAAATATTCTTGGCTCCAGGGTTCCCTGGTTTATAATTCAAAATTTTATTTTTAATCTTATTTGGTCGAGAAACTAGGATGGAGAAAATCAAGAAACTCCAACATTATGTCAGGTGAAAGTCTCTTAAGACTTTCTTTTAGGGTGCCTTTTTGAAATGAAATTTAGATCATGATCATGAAGTTTTATGAATCTAAATATAAAATGTTAATAATATATCATAAACAAATTGTTAAATAGCGCACATTTTGTGCATACAAAATATAAGAATAATAATGATAATCAAATACAGTTAATCACAAAAAAGAGACTTTATTTATTACCTGCAAACCATTCATATTGTTATTCAGTGACCAATTCGATATCGTTTTTGTTTTGAATTAGTATTGTAATACCTGATTTCAAAAGACATAATATTATATGTCTGCTAGAGTTTATTCTATTAAAACGGTAAATGGCTGTAAAGATGTGTCAATAGTGTCTTTGCAAGATAATAAAATTTAATTTGAGAAATATAAAGTTGAGTTTAGATCATTAAATCTACAAAGAGTTCAAATTCTAATATTTTGTTGACAACCCTGTACTTAATGTACAGGGTTGTCAACAAGTGAATACTCGACGCAAATCTATTTTTCTAATCCCCATATCTCTGCAACATTATTGTGTAAACCTTCAATATTTCAAACTTTGAATGTCTGTGGCAGTGTGATCTATTTATAGTTCGACATATCAAGCAACATTAGATAGCAATGATATTGGGATCATAACTTAGCTAGTGGCGAGTAATCAGCTCATCTGACTAAAAACTAAGATACCTGGCCATAGCTCTTGCAACCGTCCATGGATTCATGTCGCTGTCGAAATCAAAATGTTTGAGGTTTGTATTATAAACCAGATCTAGGTCTACCCTATACAGTTGCTTTGTACAAACATTAATCAGCTCCCCGCAGTATCTCACACTCCATTTTCTAAATTTAAATTCAAGTCAAATTATTTTTAAAGATTCTACATTTATATTATAATTTTTGAAACTTTGGGGTTCTAGGATGAGAAATTTTACGGGTTCAATATGTTTTCCTATATATCTAAAGGTTCCAGATAAGATAAGATAAGATAAGATAAAGTTTATTGCTAAAATAAATGTATATGTATACAGATAGAGTTATACCAATCACAAAATTGATGATTATATTAATAGTACAAGTATAAAGCAATTAGGTGGAAAATAGCTCTTGGCTGTTTTGATTATTTTTTCCACAAAATGGTAATAATAATAACAAAATATTTCAATTAAATAGATGTAAGGAGAACGATTAGAGATCAGGGTGCGAATTTATCATATGCAAAATAGTTTATACATAAATTCGAATAACAAGAGTTTTAAGTAATTTTCATACATGTACACAACAAATATCAAAGCATATTAAAACATATCTAATTAGTTTTACATGAATAGCAATTCGGTTTATAACAAACACATTGTCCTATAATTTTCAAAAAGAGAATTTAGTAGTCTATTTTTAAATATACTTAGAGAGTTTCTTCTTTTTAAGTCAAGAGGCAGGTTATTCCACATCTTAAGAAGAGAGCTTGATGGTAAATACTGTAATGAGCACATTTTGAGAATGTCAAGTTGATAGTTAAGAGATCTTTCAAAGTTTCCAAGCTTTTTAAAAATATTTTCAAAAGATGCAGGAAGAAGTTTATGTGTATATTTATACATAAATATAGCTTGGTTAAAGTCTATCAGATCATTAATCTTTAGAATCTTATAATTAAGGAAAAGAGGATCACTATGAGACGTGGCTTTTGAGCTATCAATTAATCGTATTGCTCGTTTCTGTAAAATGTGAATTTGTTTCATTTCTGAACATTTGTTACATCCCCAGGCTGAAATTGCATATTCTATAAATGAACGAAATAAAGAGTTGTAAATGGTTAGTTTAATATTACTAGGAAGACAATTTTTTACACTTGACAAAGCAAAAACTGCACTGGATGCTTTGTTTTTAACCGCCTTAAGATGATGGTTCCAGTTAAGATTTTCGTCTAAATGAACACCTACAAACTTAAAAGATTCATTTTTGCATCCAGTTCCTACTCTTTCTATATCTTTATTATCTATTTGAAGATTAAGCGTGGTGATACTTACATCTTCTTTTTTATTTTTGAAGAGAATATATTTGGTTTTAGACGCATTCAAAGTCAGTTTGTTTGCTTTAAACCAATCTTCTATTTTAGAAAGCTCAAAATTTGCCAAATCATATAAGCCGTGTAAGCTTTTTGAAGAAAGTTGCAGTGTTGTATCATCGGCAAAAAGAATTGTAAAAAATTTCGATGCTTTAGGAAGGTCATTGATAAGAATTAGAAATAAAATTGGTTTTTTATTTTTATTACGAGTTCTATGGTGTATACCTCAGAGGAATTACTGGTTCTAGATGAATACTTGAGTGATTTTACTGGTTTATATGTATACCTAAGTTGAACTACGGGTTCTAGATGTATACCTGAGTGGAACTACGGGTTCCAGATGAATACCTGAGAGGGTCTACGGGTTCTAGAGGTATACCTGAGTGGAACTACGGGTTCCAGATGAATACCTGAGAGGGTCTACGGGTTCTAGAGGTATACCTGAGTGGAACTACGGGTTCCAGATGAATACCTGAGAGGGTCTACGGGTTCTAGATGTATAGTGAGTGGAACTACGGGTTCCAGATGAATACCTGAGAGGGTCTACGGGTTCTAGATGTATACCTGAGTGAAACTACGGGTTCTAGATGAATACCTGAGAGGTTCTACGGGTTCCGGATGTATACTTGAGAGGTTCTACGGGTCCTAGATGTATACCTGAGAGGTTCTACGGGTTCTAGATGTATACTTGAGAGGTTCTACGGGTTCTAGATGTATACCTGAGAGGTTCTACGGGTTCCAGATGTATATGAGAGGAGCTATGGGTACTACATGTATACCTGAGAGGTTTTACTAGGGTTCTAAATAAATATCTAAGAGGAAATATGGTTTTATGATGTATATATGAGAGGAACTATGGGTTCTATATGTTTACCTGAGAGGAACTATGGGTTCTAGATGTTTACCTAATAGGAACTACTGGTTCTAGAGGTTTTATGAAGTTTAGATATATTTACCAGAGAGGATCTACGGGTCCAGAGTAATGCCCGAGAGATGTACCCAGATAAACTAAGGGTTTAAGATGTATACCTGAGAGGTTCTACGGGTTCTAGATGAATTCCTCCTCCTATCCAACCTTCAGATTCAGATTCGTTCTTAATTAGAGAAAGTATTTCGATCTATTTTTAATTCCAGACACTATCAAGATTGTTTGTGCAACATTTATTCAAGAACCGTAACCTTCCAACATTGTAAATTCAAACCGGTTTAAGAAGGTAGGACAAGTATTTGCATTATCAATTCTTTAATGAAAGAATATATGATATATATGTATTTTTGCATTAGGTACAATAATTTATAATTTCTAGATTATGCTAATTTTTAAATCTTTAAACCCGACAGTAAGTTGAACCTGTTGTATTGCTGTTTCTGGATGGTTTGGATACTGAAGTAATCCTACTCCAGGTATATACAAGAACAGCATACTCTGCATAATTCTACACACAGATGGATAAACAAGTTGAATATATCCTGTGATTTCGTTTTTTATAACTAGAACCTTTCCTATCCTTGCTCCTCAAGTGCAACAAAACTTCCCTGTTCTATAGGTCCTGGACTGAAACTAACCTATCCTGTCTCCTATCACCTACAATAAAACTAACCTATTCTATCTCCTAGCTCCTATTGAATAAAACTAACCTAACCCGTCTCCTAGCTCCTGGATTAAACTAACCGATCCTGTCTCCTAGCTCCTTGAAAAAAACTAACCTATCCTGTCTCCTAGCTCCTTGAAAAAAAACTAACCTATCCTGTCTCCTAGCTCCTGGAATGAAACTAACTTATCCTGTCTCCTAGCTCCTGGAATGAAACTAACCTTTCCTGTCTCCTAGCTCCTAGAATAAAACTAACCTATTCTCAATAGCTCTTTAAATAATGCCAACCTTTCCTGTCTCCTAGGTCCTTAAATAAAACTAACTATCCTGACTCATAGCTCCTGGATTAAACTAAGCTATCCTGTCTCCTAGCTCCTTAAATAAAACCAACCTATCTTGTCTCCTAGCTCCTTGAATAAAACCAACCTATCTTGTTTCTTAGCTCCTTGAATATAACTAACCCATCCTTTCTCATAGCTCCTTGAATATAACTAACCAATCCTGTCTCCTAGCTCCCGGAAATAAAACTATCCTATCCTGTCACCTTGCTCCTGGAATGAAACTAACCTATCCTGTCTTCTAGCTCCTTGAATAAAACCAACCTGTCTTGTGTCCTAGCTCCTGGAAAAAAACTATCTTATCCTGTCTCCTTGCTCCTGGAATGAAACTAACCTATCTTGTCTCCTAGCTCCTGGAATGAATCTAACCTATCCTGTCTCCTAGCTCCTTGAATATAACTAACCTATCCTGTCTCCTAACTCATGGAATATAATTAACGTGTCCTGTCTCCTAGCTCCTGGAATAAAACTAACCTATCCTGTCTCCTAGCTCCTTAAATAAAACCAACCTATCTTGTCTCCTAGCTCCTGGAATAAAACTAACCTATCCTGTCTCCTAGCTCCTTGAATATAACTAACCTATCCTGTCTCCTAGCTCCTTGAATATAACTAACCTATCCTGTCTCCCAGCTCCTTGAATAAAACCAACCTATCCTTTCTCCTAGCTCCTTGAATATAACTAACCTATCCTGTCTCCTAGCTCCTTGAATAAAACCAACCTATCTTGTCTCCTAGCTCCTGAAATAACAAGATAGACGCCATCTTTGTTTGCTCCACCAAACCAAACCGCATCTACAGCCAACGGGTGTTCGCCTAATTTCTAAAGATCGATTTATTATTTCTTGCAAACTTGTTGAAGGATAACAAATAAATTGGTATAACAATTTTACAAAGTTTCTTTGAAGTAATCAATATTAAGTCAGGAACATTTGAATATAATGGAGTTAATTGCTTCATAATTAAAGTTTATCCCTTGTGCACTTTTAATATTATAAGTTTAAATCATCCGATTGCAAAATATTAAAATTTCTCAGCTCATACCAATTTATACTCATCTCTGATTAATTGATTGCTGGATTATTGGGGGGGGGGGGGTATTATTTCATGGGAATTTGTTTAGCTTAGTCCTGCTGTTTAAAGTTTTCTATAAGAAAATATTACTGACCTGAGGTAACTCCATTGTGTTTATATCATCATTTGCTTTCAGACCATATCCAGCCTAGAAATTATCCAGCTTGAAAACTTTATCGGGTTTAATGAAAACAGATTATGCCACATCTCAAAATCTTTGCAACCCGACAACATAGACCTTTTATATTTTAAAGGTTGCAAAGATAAAGAGATACGAAAATCTGAGTTTCTGGCAAGAACTCAATTACTTTGCGAAAATATTGCAACTAAAGTGAAATCATCAAAGTTTACTCCTTTCTTTATAGAAGTAGAAAAATTGTTTCTCCAAATTTTAACAATCTGTAAACAGATTTAAAAAGCAAAGATTTTAGTGCACTTAATTGTGAACGGTTTATGGCATTATTTGGGTGAAGAGTCACTAAAATTTGGTTTACAATCTTATTATTAAATTAATTTTAAAAAGTAAAATTATAACCTTTTTGTGCCCAACTGCTCCAGTCTTCTTCCTTTTGTTGTATTTTATTCCTATTTATATATATATAT